AGATCACGTTGCCGATCGTCCTGCACCGCGACCTCCAGTCGTTGACGCCGCCTCAGTCGCTGGCGTCTCTCGAGGACCTCAACAAACTGCGTAGCTTTGCCGCCGATCGCGACGCCTGGAAGGAATCTACGGAACTTGTCATCATGGGCCTCACCCGCGGCCACAAGCGTCCCCGCGCGACTACAGAAGAACAAGATGCACCCCCGCGCCGCCGCCTGCTCAGCCACGGCCCGGCGAGCGAATGAAGAAGGAGATTGCTAGTCTCTACGTATGCGAACTCTTTGTAACAATGAAGATAACGCGAAACTAGTTCATATTTATATTGCGACGCCGTCACAGTTCATCGTGTGCGGAAAGGCGTGCGAAGCCTCCAAACGTTGCAGACAGGCACGAGTACTGGCGGGCGACCGCTCCAATCAAGGGAATTCTCTTGCTGCCAATACGTCAAACCTAGATCTTTCACAGTCGTCATAGCGAGCGCGTTCGTACCGCATCGCACTGGTTAGGGTTTTGGTCCAACGTCCACACATAGACGACATATATGTATTCGGGGGTTCTGAAAGCATACCGGTATCTGAAGAAAACACTGGAGTTCGAAACTTGACGAATGATCCGATACGTTTCCCCTCAAACACAACCCTAACCCCAACTTCATGTGATTCGAATCGGATCACATGGAGTTATCTGTGTACAACGACGGACGACTTCGGACCTCCCTCTGGCAGTGGATAACCCCCTTAAGCGCATTGGCATGAAACTACACTCGTAGTTAACGGTACGTATGGATGAGCCAGGTCCCGCGAAACGTTCGAGGGGTTTTCAGCGTGCTGGTATTGTCGTGCAACCACTATAACGTTAGCAGCAATCAGAAAGTGGGGCTCACTCCGGGACTCGGACCCCGGTATGCCTGGTGGGTAACCAGTGTCTATACCGCTAGACTAAAAGATGTAATCCCCGTGGGCCTGGCCCAGCGCAGTCAGTGGCATTCCCATTAGTCGAGACGCCGTGTCACGTGCACCATGGCCCTCTGCCGTCGTCCGCGCCGCTCTCGGTAGCCGCGCCGACGCCGACGCAACCCGAACCCGTGCCCGACGACTGCGGTGCCGCCTTTGGCGGCGCCTCCGTTGCCGTCAGCTTCCGACCCGTGCTCGATGACTGCTGCGTTGCCCTCTGGAGCACCTGCGGCGCCCGACCAACGACCGACGACGGCTCCCGACCCGTGCTCGACGACTGCTGCGCTGCTCTGTGTAGCGCCTGCGGCGCCCGACCGACGACCGACGACTGATGCACCACCGATGGCGGCGCCTCCGTTGCCGACAGCTGCGAACCCGTGCCTGCGGGCTGCCAAGCCTCCGCTGGAGGTGTGGCCCCTGCTCAAGTTCCCGCATGCAGCTCGCTGGCTGCCTCGTGCGATGCCACTGCAGCCTGACCCACCGACTGTCGACCCTCCAAAGCACCCGGCGGTAGCATCAGTGCTGCTCCTGCGCCCGTTCCGTGCGCCCCCCGTCCCCGTACGCCGGCACGTGTAGATGCACCGCTCCAACTTCTCGCGACGTCGCTATCCACGACCTCAAGAAACCCATAAACATCAGAAAATCCCCGAAAACAAGTGTTGCCGATGACAAGCTTGCTTGTCATCCTCTGGGTGAGTCTGCTTGCAGACAACATTAGCATTGCTAGGTATTACAGAAGCAGTAATACACTCCTGATTGACACGAGACTAAAAGATGTCGATGAGAACCCTGTCTTCTTGCCTGCAACGACGAGGTTGTGCCAGATACTAATAGTTCGACCCAGTGGAGCTACTTCGGTCCATGGGTCGCACGCACGTATGGTAGACGCACATCGGTAGGCGCACTTTTGGGGCTTTGATGTCGACCACCGGCGCCTAAAGCTCGATGGCGTCAAGCAAGCGCTTTCGGGGCGCGGCGGTCAGGAGCGGCTCGATGCTTGGCTACATGAGGTACATGACCGCCTTACTCGAGGTATATATGCAAGTACACGCAATGTTGGCGACCTGGTTGGCGACCATTGATTCGTGTTGCCCTGTAGTACCCATACCGGTAATAGTACTCATACCAGTTAGCGCCACGTCAACCAGATAGAGAAATACGACGTGCGATGGGGGCATGTCTGCCAAGCGCGCGCCGTTGACCAAGAAGAGCTGCATGCGGTCCACCTTGAAGTCAGACCAGCCCTCTTGGCACAACCCGTTGGCCCCGCAGCGATGAGGGCGGGATAAGTGCGGTCACCACGTCGTTCGAGTCGCTGGCGGCAATGAGCTGCCGCGCTATGCCTGTCTCGTGTCCGAACCGCGTCACGTGGAGAGGGCAAACTTGGAACAGCTCTTAGAACTGCTAGAACCAACACGAGCAACTTCAACTTGGCGCATCTGATCCCATCCCTCTGTGCTGCTTTGCTCCCTCCGATGCCGTGCTGCCAATCGACCACATTTTAAATGCAAATGCACACGTACAAGTTTGTTTTGAATCGATACTGAGATCACCGTCACCCTATTTCCGTAAAATAGCATCACCAGGAAGCTGCTGCCGTGCAAGCGAGCAATGAAGGGTCCCACGTTGTTCCGAGGTTGGCTCGCTGAGTGGGTGGGATGCTTGAAGGTCGCGAAAGATTCGTCACCGGCAACAACGGCGGAACGTAGTACGGCGAGTGAAGGGCCTGGCGACTGCGTATGAGATCGCGACGTCGTTCTGTGTGTTCCAGCCCCTTCACCATCGTTCCATCGTGCTGCCCTTCACCGTACCGGTACCTCCTCTGCAGCCTCCTCTGTGTGTCCACCAGCTCAACTTACCGGCCCTTGGTATTACATGGGCATAATTCATACTTCATAGGTGCCGGTTCGTCGCCGTTCCTTGCAGGCGCCGGCCAACTGGAGCATCATCATTGGGTTTGGGTGCGGGTGACGTCGTTTAATGCTTCATGAAGGCGTTTCCTACAAACTTGCAATGTAAATAAAGTATTGCATAAAAATAACGTCGCGCCACCTTTCGCAGGCCGAAACCGTTGGGGCCACAAAATAAAAACAACAGAATATTTGTATGCAATATTAAAAAAGGTTGCATGTCCTTGATTTGTTCGCTGCACGGCAGATTGCAATTGGCCTCGATCGACGCGATGCTGTTTACACGGGCGCGCAAGTACCTCGCGACGGCCGAGCACAACGTCAAGCTCGCGTTCCTCTTCACCATCACCTTTTGGTCCTGCCGCAGGTTGCCAGCAGGCGATAAGCATGCCTCATTCTTATTGCTCGTGGTCTATTAGCATCATCTTTCAGCAAGTGCTCTCGGGCTATGTGTACGTCCTCACGGGCTCGAACGAACCCGTGGGCATGGTCAAGGGTATCCAAGGCGTCGTGCAGATGGTCGCAGCCATTCCTGGTGGCTACGCCTGCGACCACTTTCGCCGCGACACGGTGCTCAAGGTCTCGGCGGTGCTCGGTCTCGTGTGCATCGCCATGAGCATGGTGGCCTTTGGCATTGTACGTATTGTACATTTCGCTCTTTGCATGGAGTAAGTGGCATGGCTCATTGGACGGATGCGTAGGGCCACTTGAATTTGATTTACATCACGTTTGGCTTTTGGGGCCTCTTCTGCGCGCTCCAGCGCCCGGCGCTGGAGGCGCTCTTTGCCGACTCGATCCCGAACGGCGAGCGTGCATACCCGATCACGATCAAGTACACGCTCATGAACACGGCCATGGTGGCCGGCCCGGCCATTTGCATCATCTTTTTCCAGCTGTACGGCGACACGTGGTCGCTGGAAGGCCTCCAGTTTGTGCTCCTCGTCGGCACGGTCATTGGCGTGCCGCCGCTTTTGCTGCTCTTCTTTTTCAACGACGACTTGGCGTATGAGAATTACACGATGGCGCCGATCAAGACGCGCGCCATTTCGTTTGTGGACGAAGACGGCGTGCTCGAGTATAGCTTTACCAACGCCGACGACAAGAAGGACGCGCAACCCAAGGTGTCGGAGCGCTCGAGCCTCGTGGTCGCCGACCTCTCGGACGGTGACGTCGAACGCAACGAACACGGCGATGTGATTGGCGATGGCAACTCGTTCTTGTGCTTTGGCCCACGCCACGTTCCGTACTTGCTCTTCTTATCCGACTTTATCATTTGCAACGGCGCGGGCATGACGGTCAACTTTTTCCCCGTCTTCTTTCAAAACGAATATGGCTTGACGCCGTCCGAGGTCAACCTCCTCTTTGTGGTCCAGCCGCTCCTCGTTGTGTGCCTCGCGTTCGTCACGGAGCGCGTCGCTGCGTACGTCCTCGACTTGATGTACATTACGTGGGATGGAGCTCCAATTTGTTTGTTAGGCGTGTCGGTGGCATTGAGACGGTGGTCACCACGCGTGTGTTTGCGACACTCTGTCTGCTTTTCATGACGTACATGAAGCCGCTCTGGGGCGAAATCGGCCTCTTCCTTCTCCGGTACGCCGCCATTTGGTCTCTCGAGTATTTGGAATTGATGATGCATGTAGGAGCGGTTTTATGCGCTGCTCGGAGCCGCTGCGCACCTCGATCCTCATGGACTATGTGCCGCAGAGTCTCCGCGGTCGCTGGAACGCACTCGAGGGCCTCACGCAGTTTACGTACTCTGGGAGCGCGGTCGTTGGCGGCTACTTGATTGAGCGCCACGGGTACCGCTACTGCTTCTTCATCACGTCCATCATCTACGCCATCGGCATGGTCGTCGAGCTCCTCCTCGTGCCCATTATCCGCAACAAGCCCAAGGCGCCGCCCGCGAAAACAATCGTCGCGCTGCATTAAAATCCATCAACTGATACATTGATACATGTGACACTATCAATTACATGATGGCACACGCACAACCGGGGTCGGGGTGCGGCATGTCGGGCGACCCCCGCGTGGGGGCAGCGGTCGACGTGGCGTGGGCCGGCGGCAGCGGCTCCGTTCCACAAGGCATGGGG